TAGATCGTAGATGTTCAGTGAAGCGGTCGCTCATACGCCGTTTGGTCTCTCCAACATATAATAGTCTACATTTGGTACAAATAATGGCATAAACAATGTTACAAGAAATACATGAAAAAGATTCTCTTATTTTGAAGGTACTAGCTGGTCCGTGGATGATGTCGGTGGAGTAAACATGAGCGCAAGTCTTGCATCGTGGTAGTAGTAGATCCAATTGGAGGTGGGTTATGTGTGGATTTAACATTGGAATGAACAAGAGTGTCCTTAAAATTTTTATCTCGGCGGTAGGCGTGCATAGGTGGTGATGTGAACACATTACTTGTGGCTTGGTCTGATGATAAAATCTCAAAGTTCCTGGTTATTACTTCAGCAACTTGCTCGTTATTGGGTGATAGGTGAGGACTAGTGGTATTCTATCGGTAGATGCAGCGCTTTCCCGGGGTTGGAGTGCAATTTCCCGTGTCATCTTGTTAATTTTGTTGAGGCAGCCGTCGGTGTTGTTGGTGGGATATCCTCTATTGGAAAAGAAGGACATCATTATATATACCTGGCAACTTATTACCTTCTCTCCGGAGTTTTTTGATTTTACTATTTTGTTTGCCAATGCAGCCTTCCAGCTTTTTATATATATTTTCTATTGTCATTTGCTGCAACCACCGGACTTCTACTCTTTGTTTTGACTATTACCGGTACTCTATGGAAGACCCTAAAAAACTTCTACTTCAGCTTCGTCAACATCTATGTGAAGACTTCCAAATGTATCCTGAAACTTTAGAACATTTCGCTTTCCAGTTTGGAGTAGCCACGTTTAATAAGACCAGATTCTGTAATCATGTTAACTTATTTTTTACGTGCCTTAAATCTAACATCATTCCAAAAGGATTTCGATCAAATTGGAGGCCGTCTATTGCCAATGTTCACTCTGATATTGTGTCCAAACCTATTATAGACTGCTCAAGAAGAATTATGCGATCCAGTTTACGCTCTTTTCAAACCTCTTGCCAAATTAATAGTGCCAAGATGGAACAATTTCGCAATTTACTTAAAGCTTCCTGTAGTACCACTGAATTTAACTACATACGTCATGTTGTCCATATGCTGAACAGAAAATATTATGACTGTCTTACCACTGCTAAGAAAACTAAACTCGATAAGCTGAAACGTGCAAGGAAGTCGTCTACCGCTACTAACACCTCACCTGATACATCTAAGCTAGTTGTGACCATTCCATCGGATCTTGAACTTACTGCTGAAGAGAGGTCTGTGCTCTCTAATGGTCTGTCATTTGTTCCTAAACGCGAGACTATTGATGAATTTTAAGTTAAGTATGATCTGGAACAGTACTACCGTAAACTGCGACTTAAAGCACACTTTCATAACCAGGACAATCTAACTAATAAAACGGATGAATTCACTTGCCTAGTATCCAATAACTCCAATTGGACTCCACCACTAGGAAAATTCGCTGCTTTGGATCTGTACATCAACAAATGCCGTCATGACATCAATTATTTAAACCTGAAACGCCATGTCAGAAGCAAGAACCTCAGCCGTGGAGAACTAAATGCATTGCGCTCTCTGAAATCTGATTATTAAACCTGCTGACAAGGGAGGTGCTACAGTCGTATGGCAAAACGACCTCTACATCGCTGAAGGACTACGACAGTTATCGGATGCTACCACTTATGAACAGACAACCACAGATACTACAGCTGAAGATCAACTTCGTGTCAGTACCACCATTAAGAACTTGATAAAAGAAGGTGAGCTGCCTCCTAATGCCAAGTGCCTGATCAATTCTAACCCCACTTGCGCACGCTTCTACATGCTACCGAAAATACATAAGACCGATAAGACCTCCTGGTCGACCTATTGTGTCCTGCTGTAATTGCCCCACTGTTATCATCAGCGAGTTTTTGGATAATGTTCTTAGCCCTATGGTTCAGCGACTGCCTACGTACATCAAAGACAGCAAGGAAGCACTCGTGCTATTTGATCAATTTCAATTTCCTGGCGACCACCGTCTTATATTTACTATGGATGTTACATCTTTATATACCAGCATACCCATATCGGATGGCCTTACTGCTCTTAAGTACTTTTTGGAGTCAGATAATCCTACATCACATGCCACATCTACTCTTATCCGCCTTGCCGAATTAGTTTTGACCACCGCTTCGTTCACCTTTAATGGATCATACTACCGACAACTTACTGGAGTCAGTATGGGTACTCGCATGGGACCCAGTTTTGCATGTTTGTTTATGGGTTATCTGGAGCAACAAATATTCAATGAATACGACGGTACCAAACCTTTGCTTTTGAAACGCTACATCGACGATTGTGTGGGAGCTGCATCTTGCTCATATGACGAGCTTACCAATTTCATTAATTACATGAATTTCTTTCACCCAGCTATCAAGTTCACCCACGAGATCTCATACACCAGTGTAACATTTTTGGATATCGATGTTAGCCTCAATGGCTCTACACTATCAACTTCCGTCTACTATAAACCTACCGCCGAGATAAAAATTTTAAGGACACTCTTGTTCATTCCAATGTTAAATCCACACATAACCCACCTCCAATTGGATCTACTACTGCGTGTAACCGACCACGATGCAAGACTTGCGCTCATGTTTACTCCACCGACATCATCCACGGACCAGTTAGTACCTTCAAAATAAGAGAATCTTTTTCATGTATTTCTTGTAACATTGTTTATGCCATTATTTGTACCAAATGTAGACTATTATGTTGGAGAGACCAAACGGCGTATGAGCGACCGCTTCACTGAACATCTACGATCTATCAAACTCAAACTACCTGGTCTTCCAGTTGCCACTCACTTTTCCACTAATAACCACTCTCTGAAGGACATTCAAATTACCGGACTGACTTTGTGCAATGGATCGGATAACATGAGGAGAAAAACAGAAGAACGTATTATATATAAGCCTGGCACCCTTGCACCCAATGGACTCAATATATCATTTAAATCTTTTAGAAACTAATATTTATTATAGGCCATTTATACTCATTATGATTATTTTATTCGATTTATGATGTTTATAGGCTCTCCTTTATATTTCTATACTGACTATTATGATTATCATTCGTATGATTTCTTATAGTTATATTTGATTTATGATTTTCATAGGCTCTCCTTATATTTTTATTGCTGTCTTATTTATCATATCAGTTATACTATATTTAATTATACATTGCTGTGTTATACTGTTATTATTCATTATGGCGCCATTTTGGCTATGCTTTGGTTTTAGCTTTTTTTGGGGAAGGTTTCTTCCCTACATTGTTCTATTGTTTTATGCTTTGTTTTATTTTCTGGCTTTTCATTGGCCACTACGTATTGTTCTGCCACCTCATTGGTGCATTCCATAGTTTTTTAAGCCATGTTTTGAGCCTTATATTTACTATATATATTTTGCTCTCATCATATTTTTCTTTAGCTTGACAAAGGTTGATAACCGAAAACGTTTGCTCACTATTAAATAAATATATACCTGGCAACTTATTACTTTCTCTCCGGAGTTAGATGTGTATAAGAGACTCGCCACTGAGGAAGGACTAGTGTTGTCCGAAAGCTCTGGTTCTATTTCTGGCTGTTTACTTACGTTTACTTTTTAGCTGTTGCTTATCATTTTTGTATCTCTAATGAGATCCAGCCATTGTTTCACACAGCATTGTTGTTTTTCTGTATTTTGCCTTTTAATCTATATATATATATATATATATATATATATATATATATATATACAATGGATATAATGTAATGTATATTTTATAATATATCGTATATTCTCTTTATGTTGCTTTTAAGATGACACAATACTTTACAATCATCATTGCTACAAGTTTGAAAGTACTGCTACAACATGGAACGATGCGAGGGAATTGTGCGAGAGTTTCTCTTCACAGTTGATTACGATCAACACTGAAGAGGAGCTAGCTTACTTCACTGCTATCGGACATACTTATGACCCTTTCCCAAAGATATGGACAGGGATGAACGACATTGCGGAGGAAGGGCATCCAGTCTGGCTGACCCATGAACAACCGACCTATAACGAGTTTAAAGATAATGACGACCCAAATAATATGGATTGCTTTCGTATCGGCAACGCTGGTAAAAATCGTTACGACAGTTGTAATGAAGAGTTTGGATACGTTTGTGAAGGTAAGAACAATAAAAAATATTATTTCCTTGTCCAATATTACACAGGATTTTGTTTTTCTTTTTAATGATATTAATCAAGAGCAAAAAACCGGCGGCCCCTATCGGGGAAAAATTAAATATTTCAGGGAATTTTTTGATTAAATAATAATAAAATGTGTGTTAATTACTCTTTACTTAATTTGATAATTTGAAAACATGCAAGTTAAATGTCGGAGGTACTAGTCCCCCTTTCCGAGCCACTCTATTTCCTATCGGAGGTACCAGCCCCTGACGGGGAAGAGCTGGCGTCACCACTGCAACCCATACGATCACAATGATTATACATCACCTCTCACATACAGTAGCATTGCTCACACTAAACGGATTTTCAAGATTTGATTTTCCAGGTCCTGTTTCCCCTCGGACCCCTGCTAGAAGCATCCCTGGAGCTGACCTGCAAAGAGCGGCTAGTTTATTAGGCTGAACTGGTGGTAGTCACTGTGTGTGTACTGAACCGTGGTGATCTCTTGTTCACCGGTTCAATCTCTACCATTACCCCAGTTGTGACGCCACCGGCGGGAATGGGGCATCCCCGCGTAGGACAGTTCTGGACTGCCTGTAGCGCAACGAACGATCTGGTCGTCGGATAAAAAATTAAAGTAATAATAATAATAATAATAATAATAATAATAATAATAATAATAATAATAATTTGCCTATTCAAACTGTTTTGATTGCCAATATATTGTGATGTAAAAGTACATTTAGGACCAAATTAAGCCATAACATCTCTCTCCATGAACCCTACCAGGGTTACATCATGATTTGAACGATGACGGTGGGCGAAATTTCATAGTTTGCTGCATGAAATATATTTGTGCATTTTGCACTCGAACCTCCTCAGGTACCCACTATACTCCTGAGTGCAGAGAAGCAATGTAAATATGTGCTTTGCTCAACGACACATACGAAATGCAAAGCGAAGGATAGAAACTCCCAGGTTGAGAAGGCAAACCGTCTCCGCTGCCGCAAACCCCTCTTCCACACAAAAGACAACACTTTTAAGAACGATCATGCTGAATATAATAGTAATATAATCCTTGATTTATATTACAGCTTCAAGTAATATCTATGAAAGATATTCAATAGCTGCTAGGAAGAAATCACCAGCAGCCGGACACGTAGTCAGCTGTATGTTGGCAGTAAGTTCAGGGGCATGCTCAATGGAATGCAGCAAACTGGAATCGTGTGTTTCATTTTCGTATAATAGTTCTACAAACGACTGTATATTGAGCAGTAGTTCAGGTCAAAGTGCAGAGCTGGAGGATGTTGAAAATGCTAACTTTTATGTCGTGACATCAACTGCAGAGATATGCAAATCATTTACATAATCACTAAATGACCAAACAATACACTAGTGTTGTTAGTATTGTATTAATTTTTCTAGCCAAAAGCAGTCGATCGTATACATTAATTTCTTCCAATTTTTATTATAATTAATAATTTAGCTGCATGTTCAAGCATGGCCTACGTTCTGGGGAGGATGTAGGTCAGGAGGGGAGGGGTGTACAGATAGTGCGCTATTATGAATCCTTTTGTACTGTATGATTGATATGAGCATACTACTGGTAAGAATTTTAAGATGTGAGAGTACAATTTTCAGGCACATACCGGTCCACATTCTCTAAATGTTCGCATCTTAGCCCCAACCCCGTTGGGGCTGAGGTGGCATGGTATGGACGCTCACGCACTCCCTATCGCCAATGCAGGCTATCTAGTTAAGACCTATATACGCCAATGGAACGATGGAAAACTAGCTAAAAATATATATTTGTCAAATTAATGTCGGAATAAATATTATTCAAGTGTATTATTAAAATGAATTAAACAAAAATGAATAAAAATGAATCAATATGAAGGATTTATTTTTTATTCATTTTTGTTTAATTTATTTTAATAATATACTTGAATAATATTTAATGAATTAAAAAAAATGAATAAAAAATGAATCAATATGAAGGATTTATGTGGCTTCAAAACGTGAAATAATTTTTGTGTCCGATCCTCACGTTCATGCAAGGTCAAGTCGACAAACAATTCAAAACCATACTCCAAAATTTGTTGATGATTTCAATATTTTTATTTATAATTGTATTCTATTACTTAATTATTTTTTTTTATTTCATTTTTAGTTAGGTTAGATGAAGGGTGTGTAGAGCCCACAAATGTAAAAATAAACACAAAAAATGTAAAAATAAACGCATTTAATGTCAAACAACTGTACACACAAATGTCAAACTAACCGCATTTGTTATAACATGCCAACCACAAATTTAAAAATAATCACAAATAATAATGTAAAATAAAAAAGAAAATTCGCCCAAAATTGTAAAAAAAAATTAATAACAAATGTAAAATTATTTCGTCTACAAATAAAAAAACAAATCCATATCATAACATAAAATATCATAACATGTCAACCGCAAATGTTAAAAGTCATTCTAAGATAACTTATTATCAGATGTATGGGTATGTATGTACATTAGGTTTTCCCATACATTACAATCTTTAAAGTATCGAAACACCTATTTAACTGCTTAAATTAGAGCAGCTAAGGGTCCCAGCTCTGCATTTTATTACCAAAACATGAAACTAGACACCCGAGCACAAAATATCTTTCATATGTAAAAAAAAATGTTGTGTGCCAAGTTTCTGACGCCTACTATGGCCGCTTTTGTGAATTCAAAATGGCCGCCTAATAAATTTAATTTACCTTGACAATGGAAAGTCATAGAGACTTACTATTGGTGCGTCTCAAATTGTTCGAAGCATACATGTTTATATATTTGCTCTAAAATGCAACATTTTGTTAAAAAAAACAAAAACAAAAAACGAAAATAAATTGTTTCTTCTAATTATTCCAACCGTCACAGTCTAAATACGTTAATAAAAAAAAGATGTTCGTTTTATTAAATTTTCTTTCCATATTGCTTCCTCTGAACCACCTTAAAAAATTAAACATACTCAAACTAATGATCTACACAAAATGCAAATTGCCTCTTATATTTTTCAGTTTTTTCATAACGCCCTTCCACCAAACATTGCTAATCCTTTTAAAATCAAACCCTTATCCCACAAGTATAATTTACGTACTGTAAACAACCTTTGATACTTCATATTCCTTATGTTTAAGCTTTAATAATTTTTTCTCAAATATTGGAAAGGAAATTTTATAAATCTTTTGAAAGTACTACTACTCCTGAATGGAAATATCCTTTATGTATCCACAAATTAAATTTTAACATGGTAACATTTGAAAATATTGAAAATGCCCTTTCAGGTCTGCCCGAAAGCAGTAATTTGGATATTCTGAATTTTGATTCAAAATTGCTTAGGGTTGCCTCTCAATATATTGCAAAATCTCTTTCCTCTATAATAAATTTGTCTATTAGGCTGGGTATTGTTCCAGAGGATTGGAAACTCGAAAAAACAACACCTATCTATAAAGGTAGTGGATGTAAGCAGACGATTACTAACTATAGACCCATCTCCGTGGTTTGCCATATTTCAAAAATTGTTGAAAGAGAAATTCAAAATCAATTAGTTATCTAACCGAAAATGATCTCATAAGTGTAGATCAATATGCCTTCAGAAAATACTACTCCACCATCACTTGCCTTCATCGAGTTTTAGATGAATGGATGGAAACTTTGAATGACCATGAAATGATTGGAGCCTGTTTTCTCGACATATCTAAATACTTTGACTCAATTGATCATACTCTTCTCCTAACTAAATTAGAAAATTATGGCATTAAAGACACTGAAATCAAACGGTTTAAAAGTTATCTTTGACAACGCAAACAAGTCAAATGTCATAATAAATTATCTGAAAAAGCAAATGTTGAAATTGATATCCCACAGGGTAGTGTGTTAGGACCGATCTTATTTTCATTATTTATTAATGACCTTTTACAATATGTATCTCCAGGATCATGTAGCATATATGCGGATGACACTACTGACAAATCGGTAGAAAATATCAATATCAAATTACAATCAATAATGAATAATGTCGCAAATTGGTATAAATTTAATAAATTACTTGTAAATTCTAGCAAAACCAAACTTATGATAATTAAAAATAGAAATGTTCGCCCTCTTTCTTCTTTGAATATTCATGTTGGTAAGGAAACCATTGATGAGGTAAAAAACATCCGTTTTAGGACTTCAAATTGGTGAAAACCTTACCTGGAATGACCATATTCGAAAATTAAATAAAACAATTGGGTACAAAATTAACATCCTAAATAAATTGGCAGAAACACTAAATGAATCTCTTCTAAATATTCTTTATAGAAGTACAATACAACCCATAGTAAGTGTAACTGCTGTCTCTTATACACATCTTGATGTGTATAAGAGACAGGGAATGAATGGCTCTTTAAAAATCTCTGGAACAAAAGTTTGGAACAAAATCCCAATCAGAATTCAAGAATGTCAATCTCTTAATTTATTCAAAATTACTTATAAGAAACACTTTTTCTGATTTCACAATTCATTTCCTTGTATATTTTCTTGGTCTATACTTTTAACATTTATTTCCGGCCCCGAAACTTGGACTCAGAAGTACCGGGATGGTGTCCGGCGGGGGATAGTTTTTATCATTGTTTAGTTAGGTTTGTAGTTAAGATAAAAGTTGTGACAGCCCCGAAACCTTGACTCAGAAATACCGGGATGGTGTCAGTCCGGCGGGCGATTCTTTTTTTTCGTGAAGAGCCAAGCATAGGGTGACATATAAAGTGCTCTGATTGGCTAATGATAAGATGACATAATCGCACTTTTGTTTGACAGTCGCTAGGTATCTCGCACACTCGTCCGAGCAATGCGGCTGCGATACACGCCAACAAAACAAATCCATGCACATACAACGCGCCGAGTAAGCCTGATTTTTATGCGTGTAACAGATTACTGTATTGGGAACAACATTTAGTAGGCTACCATAGTCACCGCTGATCATACAACTCTAATACCCACTGCTACCAATAGGCCTAGAAAACACTGTAGTAGACCTACTATGAGTACAAACGAGGTCGTTTGCATAGAGGGCCTAATAGTAGGCCAGTTAGTAGGCCCTGGGATCACAGACTTTTAGGCTAGATATGTTATACTGTACCTTGTTTAAATAGCGATTTCGAATAGTTAACGCACAGTTAATAAAGCAGTCAAAATTTAGTATTCACGACAGCAACAGTAAATAATGCAATATCTATTTTTCCGAAGTGGTACTGTTTTATGTACTGTGGTACTATTATTTGGCAAGAGTGTAATTTACATTTTTTGACTTAAAAAAATAAGTTTTTTCAAGGTTTTAGTTTTTTGTATACACTAGGTTATGGAAGACTTTCTTTTTGCTTTCAAGAAGTACTCAGTGGAACATTTTCAGTACAATGTTCTCTTCGCACAACCTTCCATTACCCAACTGTGTCTTTCCTAAATGTTCTAAACTTATTTTGACATGTATAGACAACATCTGGCTTTTTACTTTGTACATTTGCTCACGTATTTTGATTAGGCATTCATCTGGAATTGGCTGTGTTGAAGGTAGTGACAAGATGGTTGAATTCTGCTATTAGCAATGTCTATCAGTCAGCGTTTCATCCAGAAGCATCACAAAAGGCCAAATTCCCACTCTGTGGTATCATTTCATAAACCTAAAAAAACCCCACCAGATTCAAGTATTTAATTGTGCTGTACTGTGTATCCATTTATTATGTCATGACATAACAACATCAGCAGTTTGAAGAAATTTTTTATCAAACAAACCTGGGTTGCTACTTATTTGTAGGTTGGTTGATATTTAAAAATATTACTTTATTTATTCAAACATCACATCTCAAACAATAATATAAGGTGGCCAAAGACCAAATTGCAGTTTACTTGTGTTACATAATATTCATTAAAAAAGGATATATAGGGGCCTATAATAAAGACTAGACAGTTAAAATGTTGTAACATCATGTAAAACTACAAAATAGAAAAATTAAAATGGTAAAAAAAAATTACAACCAATAATTTAAGCAACTGAATAATAAAGAAAGGGGGCGTCTCACATTGCTAAGTTTGCTGTTAGTCAAGTATAGCATTATAATTTTAAAATTATATAATTATAATATTTTTAAGTATTGTAGAGATGTGGACAATATGCCTGGGTCTAAGCCGTAGTAGAAGTAAAGTTTGGTAGTAGGGTAGTTATTAAATAATAATTATTATATAACAGTATTGGTTTTATTATAATTTTTACCATATTGTAGTTAAGTTGTAGTTAAGCATAACCTTGAGCCGTAATTCCTGGCCCCGAAACCTTGAGTCAGAAGTACCGGGTTGGTGTCCGGCGGGGGATAGATTTCCACCAAAGTTTTAACTGTTGTTTATTTTGTTGTACTGTGCCGGTTACTTTTGTTGTTGTTATTGTAACATGTGTTTGCAGGACCATATTGTAAAACAGCTGTAAGATCTCGCCTGTATATGTTTTCCTGCCTAAAGATGTTTTAAATAAATAACATAAATAAATAAATAATGTTAAACTTAGGTTATCTGAACATTTTCTTTCCGTATCTGGACCACGTATATGGAATGGTCTTGATGACAACTTTTTGATCGTCTTGATGGCATCCTGGCCGTGTTCATTGTCACACATCTACATCATGGAATCCGGGGAAGAAAGACCATTCGCTTTCGCCTTGCGAACGTTGACATCGAGTGAGCGTAACTATGGCCATGCCAACTTCAGAAGACAGCATTATCGTTGATATTCGGAGTGAAGTTATTTCACGAAGACATATACAAAAGAAAGTTTACGCTAATGACCGACCATAAACCGTTGCTGACGATTTAGGAAAGAAATCTGGTGTGCCTGCTTTGGCAGATTCGAAATTACAGAGATGGGAAGTGGCGCGCGTAGGGTTTGGCACCCGGGGGCAAGTGTATAAAATTGCACCTCCTTCCCCCATTATATTAATTGATATTTTGAAATTAATTGATATTGGTTGTATAGACTTTAAACATATCCATACTGTACGTCTATATCATGCACTGTCTAAATAACATTATTTAAATCCCAATAACTATTATTATTCTAGCTCTCATATGTTCTTTCTTACAAGGGGTGGCGACAGGATTTGCCCGAGGGCAGTCCGAGGTCCGGGTGCGATGCCCGAGGAAGGGGAAGATTTCTTTGAGTCAAGTGGGCGTGATCGAGCGTCGCTTAAAATCTCCTGAAAGTGGTCTAGACCAGCTAGGGGTGGGTGGGGAAGAACTTAACAAAAGTTTTGACAATTTATGGGTTTCAAAGTCTTACTCAATCGATTTTAGAGTCTACTAATATGTACAAAATACATACAATTGTTTTTCTCAGCAACTAATTATAGTTATTCTCCCCGACGAAGGGGGGTGGGGGGGCGAATGGCGCCATTCCTGATTCTTACTATTGAAACTGCATTACAATGCTCGGAACTTTGTATACAATTTTACCATTATCCTAATTTGTAAGGCTGTTGTATTTATCGCACAGCTTAGTATTCTTATTCTTTAAATTTATCTTATAGTAGAGTCCTGTTAGTTGCTGAATTTTTAACATTGTTAAACTCACAACTGAATTTTGTATGCTTTTGCATCAGCTAATAAGTTAATGATCAAAGTTAGCAATGTTGTCTGCTTTATCACGCTCACTAAGCAGAATATAGTCTCGCTTTTCCCATCGTGGCTCTGAGATAAGGCAGGATGATCTTTAGTCATGTAGTCATTACAGAATAGGATAAGAAAACAAGAGAAAACGGTCGAAATGGACTGAAAAGAAATCACAATCTGTAAATTCGCCAATTAAAACAATCACATTCAGATTCTTATTAATAACTGGAAAATAATAATACCTGACGAATTTAAATAGGCCTACATCCATTTCGTCGTGTTTTTTTCTAAAAAGTGTTTTTTTTTTTACTTTCATTCTCCCATTTCAGCGCCCCCTCAAACCTGGCGCCCGGGGCACTTTCCCCCACCCCTTCACCCCTAACTGCGCCACTGGAGATGGGCGATTGTGTTGTCTGCCTATCGTTATGACATCATCTTTCGAAGTATGGGAGAGCATAATGCCGAAGCGTTTTCCCGATTGCCAGCAACACCAGTGACGAATTTATAACAAATGCAACGATAACGATAAAAATGCTAAAAAGCAATTGTTCATATAGAAAATACGAGAATTTTTTACACTAGAACGATTCGATAACGATTTAGTTATGCGATAACAACATAATTTTGACAAATCAAATCAGATGATGTCATAATCATGGAAAAACATTAAAATCTTAGTAGTAGCAACGATTTTATAGTTGCTTGATGGTAGAACTCAAGATCTTAAGGAGGAGTGTAGTAGAATTACCCACTGTTATTTAGCATATTGTTAACAGAGAGGACGAACGTCAACACACGTGCGTTTTTAGTGAAAACTGCCATGTTGAGCATAATACACTACAGTAACAGATATGGAACGACCGAATGGTCTTGAATTGTAGTACTCAGACCCCATTAACCCAAAGCACTATCCATCATTACCTTATTATCTTTTTTTTTTCATTTAAACATTTGTTAGAATATTAGGTGGTAGTGTAAGAGAATAGGCTGAAGAGGAAAAATGTATTCCTGAAGAACTAGTGGGCTTCAGAAAACAGTTATAGCGTCACCAACAATTTATTTATCTTAGACCTTCTTCTAAATAAGACGTCATTGTAAAAAAATATAAGCTTTACTGTGCTTTTGTAGATTTCAATAATGGTATAAAAGGGTAAGTACAGTTTCAAAAACTATATGACATTATACTGTAATGTCTTTTAAACGTGTACAATATATGCAGACAAATACACAGATTAGAATAAAAACAAAACATGTCTGACAGATGACATTGAAAGCACCTCAGGATTAAAAAAAAGTTGTCATTTTTCGCAGATTCTTCTTAATTATTCTCTTTCTAAATTATTTTGCACTTATTAGCAGATGATACTTTTATTTTCGTATTGAAAGGTTGCACTAAAAAACAATTCAAATTCTTACAAAAATGTAAAAAAAATAATTCGAAATAAATAAAATGAAAAATAATTAGGTTATGGTTTTCAGAAAGTAACAGCGAAAGATGAGAAATGGGAGAGTGATAGTGTAGAAATTGTAGTAGTTATAAGTAATATAACTATTTGCGTTTCCATTTTAATTGTAAATTTAGACAACCATGAATGAACGATGTTTAATATCTGAATGAAATGGTTAAATTTTGGGTTTAAATATCCTGGGATACAACTTAAACTATTTGATAGCCAAATAATGTCAGTATTGTTACATGGCAGTGTGATTTGGGGTTATCATAATTTAAATTGTGCCGAAAATGTCCATTCCTTTTAAATGTACACCAGTCATGCAAAAACTAAAGAAATTCGAAACGAATTAGGGAGATTTCCCATTAAAGTTATCAACAAATTAAAATAGTTAATTATTGGATAAAAATAAATGAGATGGAAAAAACAATGTCACCCTATATACAGTATTCTATCAAAATCAAAGATTGTGGGCTGAGATTTGATTTGACTGTTTTTCATTTGGGATGAAACACATATAGATAACTATGGGATTTAGTTACATGTGGAATGTACCTGTAAATGATAATCTCCTAAATATTCTTCACTGAGAGTTTATGACAATGCATTATAGACAATATTGTACTGACAGGTAAATATTTATTCAGCAAGATTATTAGACCCAAATTATTTACAATACAATTAAGTTTGGAAAATACTAACTCAAAAATATATTTTTAATTTAAACTTCAACCATCATTAAAAGATAGAGAAAAAAATAGGACATGTTTATTTTATATAGAAGACGAAAGTCATTCCATTTATGTATGTCCCTTTTATAGCGCACCAAGAAAAAAACTTATTTTTATTAAGAAATATGTTTTTAAAATTATGGCAATTTTTTGTTTTCATCAAATTATTAATTGTAAACATTCCTTTTATTTCATTTTCTACATATTTTATGGAATAGTATTTGGGTCATCGTTCCTATTTTAATATGAAATTACCCGATGTCATAATTCCATGCTAGTAGGTGAACAGAGTGACTTACTAAATGTTCAAATATGGACCTGTAGGTGCCCGAAAATTACACTCTCCTATCTTAACATTTTTACTGGTAGTACGTTCATATCAACAATATAGTACAAACTTTACTTAATAACAATTAGGGGGAGCAACAGCACCCTTTGCACCCCTCTTCCTACCTGCATCCGCACCGAAACGTAGGCCATGAACATGTGGCTAACTTATTGGTTAGAATAGAACTTGGGAACAATTAATATACTTCTGCTTTTGGCCAGAATAGTCAACACGATACCAACAACACACATTTATTGATTGTTCACTATATAAATGTTTTGCATATCTCTTCAGTTGATGTAAGGACATAAAAGTTAGCGTTTTCAACATTCTCCAGCTCTGCACTTTGACCTGAACTACTGCTCAATATACAGTCGTTTGTAGAACTATTATACGAAAATGAAACACACGATTCCAGTTTGCTGCATTCCAGTGAGCATGCCCCTGAACTTACTGCCAACATACTGCTGGTTATGTGTCCGGCTGCCAGTGATTTCTTCCTTGCAGATATTAAATATCTTTCATAGATATTGCTCAAACCTGTAATATAAATCAAGAATTATATATTACTATTATCTTTATTATGTAGTTTGTCTTTCTGAAAGTTATTTGGTGCGTGATGAAATCGGTTTGCTTTCTCAACCTAGAGTTCGCTTTGAATTTTGCTTGTATCCTTGAGCAAGGCACTTTATCTGCGTTGCTTCTCCCCACCCTGGAGTATTACTGGGTAAATAAAGAGGTTCGAGTGCAAAATGCACTGATATATTTCATGCAGCAAACTATGGAATTTCTCCCACAGACATCGTTCTATTGAAAGGTAAAGCGTGAAAAACCGCTTCTTAGTTTTATAGAGTGCTATATGAAAACCTAATTATTATTGTTATTGTTCTTGTTATTGACAGTTGTTCTTGTGTCTTTCTTCATTAGTTTTATTATTATTATTACAATCATTTCCATCATAAGCTTATTGTAATTGTAATTATTAATATATCATCTTTTAAATAATTATAAAATTATGCATATAATAATACTAATAATCAGTTTATTAAAGTTATTTTAATATTATATCGTAGTTAAGGCAGATATGATATGTAAATGTTGATATTTTAGATATTTAAACTTGCTCATCACTCTTATCAGCAATTACTTATTAATATTAACATAATATGTGTATATGGATTAGATTGGATTTCTTCGCTGTTGTACAAACCAAGGATAACCCACGAAAATCTGAAGAAGACATATTTAAAGTGGGGGAGGGGGGTCACTCCGGTAGTGAATTTTGCAGTACACTGGGAGACAATCCTCTCCTCTTTTCCAAAGAATGTACTGTGCATGGGCGCAGATCATAGGGGAAACGTCCCCTCATACATTTTTAAGGTTGTTTACCTTTTTATTTCCTCCACTTTTCGGCGGAAATGGGATTTCATAAGTTAAAAAGATGCCTGAAAATTGTTGAACTGCATAAATTACCCAGATCTTAAAGAGCCCTGTACAGCCAGAATACATCTTCTTATAGCAAGATACCGGTATCGTGCAAATATCGGTGTGCGTGTGCCTTTATTATAATTAATAAGAAGTATGAGAAAAAAATGTGTAATGTAAAGTAAATACATCGAAGCCAGTTAAGTTTTATTTTCTATGGTGCATCACATAGATTAATTAGATCTCTATGATTGCCGAAAATCCCTAATAAAAGATGATGAGAAAGTTATTGGCACACTTAATTTTGACTATAATGGTGGTGTGATGATGATGAATTTTACTAAAAGAGTATCAATTCCGGCCAGCTAGAAGTACTATTTACCAAATTTTCTGAGATGTGCTGAGATGGGTGTGGACTCATGGCTTAAAGTAGATAAAGTAAATGCATCAGAGGCAATATTTTAAAGTTTTATCTTTAATGGTATATGACAGAGATTATTTATATCTCTGATTGCCGAAAATCGCTGATAAAAGATTTTTGAGAAATTTCTTAACGCTTTATTTTGACTATAATGGTGATGTGATGGTGATGAATTTTTTTTTAACAGTGTAATTCCGGCCATCTAGAAGTACAATTTACCCAAGTTTTCGCGCTTCAACCCCAACCGTGGTATGGCTGAGCTTGGTGTGGAGTCACGGCTGTAAGTAGATTAATTAAACACATAACATTATTGATAAGATATTTTAAGATCATGGGAAATTTGTTGACGCATCATTTTGACTGTAATGGTGATGTGATAATGATGAATTTTACTGTATAAGATTGTCATTTTCGGGAATCTAGAGGTAGGCCTACTATTTTCTCAAATTTGGGGTTGAGGTTATCTAGGCTCATGGGTGAAGCGGGTAAATTATAAGTAAATACATAAAAAATAATGTTTTAAAGTTAGAATATTATGGTACATCACACACAATATTAATTAGATCTCTACGGTTGCCAAATATCGTTGATTTAAAAGATCATGAAAAATTTTCCATTTCTGCCCTCCAGCTTAAACACACACACAAAATGATGAAGATTGAACCGGTGACCAAGAGATCTCACGGCTTTGGGCCACGCAGTGGCTAAGACCTGTTTAGCCGACTGAGCCATCCGCTCTTATCTTATGTCCTTTTTGCTCTTGCTTAATATTATTACTAAAACGAAAACCAAATTCCATTTTAATATTGGACAATGAAAGTTATAGTATACGTTTTTTAATTGTTCTTACTTTCACAAACGTATCCATACTCATCATTACAGCTTTCGTGACGAATGTTACCACCCGAGCCGATACGAAAGCAATCCTTATTATCCGGGTCGGTAGAAATTCGAAACTCATTGTATGTCGGTTGTTCGTGGGTCAGCCAGACTGGATGTCCTTCCTCCGCAACGTCGTTCAACCCTGTCCATATTTTTACCGGGAAATCGTCGACAGTCGAGGCGATAGCAGTGATGTTAGACAGCTCTTCTTCCGTGTTGATCGTAATTAAATGTGAAGAGAAACTCTCGCACATTGCTTTCGCGTCGTTCCAAGTTGTAGCATTATTTACAAACTTGTAGCAATGATGATTGTACAGTATTGTGTCATCTGAAAGCAACATATAAGAGTATACGACATTAAAAACTACAAAATCTACATTATATTTCGTAATTTGTTTTTGTACCAAACCGAGACTTGCTGTTAATCAAATTAATTATTTTTTGCCAACTCCAAAACCTTAGTCCAGAATGTGGCAGGTCGACGATTGTGCTACCATGTATGCGCATAAACGACCCAGTCATAATTCAGAATAAACTTATTGATAATTTGAACAAATGTAATAGGCCTAGATGGTTAGTAGGAAATACTTTCTCTCTACATCTGGGTAAAACCGAGTGTATTTTATTTGGGACTAACAGAAGGCTGACAAATGTAAATAAATTTGAAGTTGAAATAATGTCGGGTCATATTGATAATGGCAGAAAATCAGTAAAATTGGTTTTGAAATTGATGAAAGTGCATCGAGAGGTTAAATTTCCTCAAATTTTATTTCAAAGGCTAATACCAGGTTAAATTCCTCTACTGTCAAGTCCCATATCCTAATGCTAGATGTAGAAAATTATTATCCACTGTCCTGATTAAAAGTTTACTTGATTATTCATTCTCTTCCTAGTATGTTGCTGTATCCAAAAGCACTTAAATCAAAACTCCAGGTCACACAAAATAAATTAGTTCGTATCATCAATAAAAAGGGACCCCGGGTTCGTGCTGGTCAGCGATAACTATATAATTTAGGTCTTTTTAAATTTGGAAGATATAGTTAAGTTTCTGATACCCTGTCATGTGTATAACGTGTTCCATTATAACTGTCCATCATATATGCATTTAAAATTTATAGGATATATCAATCCAATAGCTAAAATACTAGGAATAGTTCAGTGACTTTTAGAGTGCCCACTAGAGCGTCTGATTCTTTTTGTTATAAATCAATCAAAGATTGGAATAAATTACACAAAGAAATTATAAATAAACCAAATATGTCTACATTTTACTGCTACTAAACACATTACTACTGAGTCTCGAACAGCTGAAAATTCTTCTGTTGTATTACTGAAAAGAATGTTGATTCTGCAATCCACTGATTTATGTACATTTTAATGCCATTATTTGCCATTTTCTCTCAATCTTTGTCTTTATTAAAATTGATTTGGTACCTTTTAATATATATATATATACCTTTTAACTGTCTCTTTATACACATCTAGATGTGTATAAGAGA